TCGCAACGGACCCCAGAGTTTAAAAACCAGGCGGGAAAACACACCGACGCTTCATCAGAGGCTGCAGTGAGGATGTTACCAAGCACGGTAACAAAACATGTGCGGAACAACAAACCAGCTCGGCGAGCCAACCAACCTATAAAGTTACTTCTTAACAACAGTAGAATGGAAGGTAATAGTCAGCTCTTTGCTTTGTTTTCTATGACTGTGTTCCATGCATCTTTGTACAGGTGGAAATTGAAGAGTCTGAACGAACAGCCCCTTCAGAAGATATTCCAGAACATTCAGCGTTTCTGAATCTGAATGCATGTTCTCCAGATGGATTGTTGATAACATTTTTCACTGAGAATTCTATAGGTCTGTCCTTTTCATATATTTTTCAAAATCTCAACACGCTAACAAGTTTGCCAAGATACCCTGAATTTGCAGCTTCAAATGTACTGCACAGCTGTCTACAATAAGTTGAAATCTCAAATTTCCAAACATAGCCAAAACATCTTAGTAACTGTAGACAAGAAAAAATGTTTAATCTCTCAATACGGACAGCTTTCACTGCATGCTCCTGAGAATACAGCCGAGCATTTATAATCAATTTTGCTGCAAAATTCATGCAGTTTTTAAAAAGAAACTGTTTTGTTTTCTGTCTGTCTGCAGGCTACAATTAGGTTTCCATAATTTTACACGCACCTATATATTTAGAGTTGTCAACTTTGACTTGTGTTATTTTAAGGTATAAAAAATGAACGTATGCCCGAAGAGAGGATATTGCTGCGCCAGAGTTATCCTATTAAAACTCATGGCTCCCAACCCTGTGAGGCAGCACGGAAATGGCCTGCCATGCAGGAAGCATCAAGAGTTATTACACTCCAGGGAACTGTGATAAAGTACATGATGGATGGATCCACTGAGGTAAAATATTGTTGGTTTATACAATTATATCTGAAAACAGCCATTTCCCAATTCTCAATCATGTTCATTTCAGCTAACTTCATAGAGCATAGAGCATAGAACAGTACAGCACAGTACAGGCCCTTCGGTATCATCCCCAACCATGCCATGATGATCTGCAACAACAGTGGTGAACACATGTGGTGTGCCATCATGTCCTTATCTATGGTCATCATTTTTGGCAGCCACCTTCAGCCTACAGAATACTGTCCATTGCCTGTGGGCTGTCTTTTGCCACTGCTGACTCGAGACCAAAGTACAGGTTGGAGGACGTGGTGAGTGGGTAGCTCCCCACACCAACTCACCCCTCAGCAACATTTTTTTTAAATTGTGCACTAACTCTTTTTCGATTCTGCTCAGCAGATTCCCTGTGTCTGTTTTCTTCCACCATACAACCTTCATTCTTTCCCATCATTCACTCTCCAAACCCCTCCTTCTTCCCTTTCTCTCGTCTCCCTTTCCACTGTCTTCCCTCCCAGTTTACCCTTTCTCCCCGCTCCCCTCTCTATCCTTCTCTTTCTCCCCCTCTTAAAAGTAACTGGAAAATTAGCATCCTGACTAGGTTAGGTGGCTGTTAGGTTTTTTTGTTAAAGTGAGTAATTTGTAGCACTTTCACAATTTCACCCTTTGGAAGCGATGTAGAAGTATTTGCATAACACCATAGACCATAAAAAAGTTCTATAATTTTCCAACCCTTCGCACAGCAGTAACTTAACTGTGCTGCTTTGTGCTATAATGTGTACATAATTCCTTATCGCAAAAAACACGTTCAGATCTTTTTGTCTTCAGCTACTCTTATCCTGCAATATTGACTGCTTTATTCTAAGTATAGTTCTTTCTGTACTGTATTTCACAACGTACTTGTAATTTTTTCTAGATTCTGTTTGCTGATGGAACTGTGAGCAGAAGTCCAGATTCCGGACCTGTCTCCATTCCCCCATCAAATATAGCAACAAGCAACCAGTTTGATTTTATTAATCAAGAATCAAAGGATGAAAAGGAACTAAAAAAAGTAATCAGTGAAGAAGTGAATAAGAAAGGTAACATGGGAAAAAGCTGTAAATAGTTAGGGTGACTGATGGGGAACATATTCTAAGCTACATACTTTACATAATTTTTTTTCCCACACATCTGATGACCTCACTAAATACCACTGTGCTCCCTGAGAAGTCACTGCCTGTGAAAATATAATAGCGTATCACAGTCCCTACTAAGTCTCCCATTTATACAAACACAGAAAGTAAGCAATTCCATTGTATGAAAAGACATTTCTCATTTTCAAAAAATATTAAATTCCCTATTAAAAATAGTAGTGTTTACAAAGATATTTTATTAAGTTATTCTTTGTTTCTTAAATTAAAATCAAAGTACATAACTTTATAAGAACTAAAGACCTTTATCAATGAAATTGATAGTATGCCAAGGACAAACCAGAGATCATAAAGGATCATTTAACTGGTAGAAGTAAAATGCAAGTTATTTTGTCTTTTTATTTGCCAAGGCAAAGGACTAACATATAATAAATAATTTGGTCAGTGAATTTTGAGATCCTGGCTCTCAATTCTGTAGTGGCAGAATAGTATTCACCACCAGGCCATATATTTGAATGACATTCATTTGCCAGGGGAGCATTTGTTATGCCTTTCAGCCTTCCTACAATGTGCTGATTATTACTGTGTTTAATTCTATGTGCAATGGGAGCTTTCTGGTGCCTTCCCGAATTAAACATTTCTGTTAGAACCCACAACAGTACAGCACAGGCACAGGCCCTTCAGCCCATTATGTCAGTGTCGATCATGATGCCATTCTAAACTAATCCCATCTGTCTGCTCATGATCCATACCCCTATATTCCCTGCCAGTTCATGTGTCCGTCTAAATGTCTCTTAAAATTTGCTAACGTATCTGCTTCTACCATATTCCCTGGCAGTGCACTCCAGGTAGCTACCAACCTCTGCTGGGGAGAAAAGAACTTTTCTCATGCATATAATTTAAACATTTCCTTTCTTGCCTTAAACCTATGCCCCATAGTATTTGACATTTCCACCCTGGGAAAAACATTCCAACTATCTGCCCTATCCATGCCTCTCATAATTTTATGTATTTCTATCAGGTTACCCCTCAGCCTCTGACATTCTAGTGAAAACTATCCAAGTTTGTCCATCCTCTCCTCATAGCTAATACACTCCAATCCAGGCAACATCCTGCTAAACCTCTTTGTACTCTCTCCAAAGCTTCCACATCCTTTATTCCCTTTATTCATTCGGGGGATAAGGGCATCACTGGCCAGGCAGCATTTACTGCCCATCCCTAATTGCCTGGAGGGCAGTTATGAGTCAACCACATTGCTGTGGGTCTGAAGTCACATGTCGTCCAGACTAGGTAAGGATGGCAGTTTCCTTCCCTAAGGACATTCGTGAACCAGATGGATTTTTCCGACAATTGGCAATGGTCATCATTAGACTCTTAATTCCAGATATTTATCATGGCAGGATTCAAACCCAGATCCCCAGAACATTACCTGGGTCTCTAGATTAACAGTCCAGTGATAATACCGCTAGGCCATTGCCTCCCCAGTTGTGTGGAGATTAGAACTGCACACAATATTCTAAATATGACTGTTGACTTGCTGACTTTTATCCTCAACAACAACAACAAAAACATAAGTTGCTGGAAAAGCTCAGCAGTTCTGGCAGCATCTGTGAGGAAAAAGTCAGAGTTAACATTTCGGGTCCGGTGACGCTTCCTCAGAACCCGAAATGTTAACTTTGATTTTTATTCCCAAGATGCTGCCAGAACTGCTGAGCTTTTCCAGCAACCTCTGTTTTTGTTCCTGCGTCACAGCATCTGCAGTTCTTTTGGCTTTTATTTTGACTTTTATCCTCAATGCCCTAACTGATGAGGCAAGCATGCCATATGCATTCTTTATCATCTTATCCACTTATGCCACTTTCAGGGAGCTATAGACTTGGACCCCAAGATCCTCTGTATATCAATGCTGCTAAGGGTCCTGTCATTTACGCTATACGTTCCTCTTGCATTTGACCTCCCAAACTGTGTCACCTCACACTTGTCCAGATTAAACTCTAACCTTCCTTACTATCCACACTTCATCAATTTTCTTGTAATCGGCGAACTTATTAACCAGACCACCTCATTGAGGGTCACTTCCACTGGCTCCATGCATAAATTCCCTCTTCATCTTCGAGGGATCTACCCTTTACCCTGCTACCATCTTGCTCCGAATATATGTATAAATGCCCTGGGATTCTCCATAATCCTCAGCAGGTCTGGCAGCATCTGTGAAGAAAAAAAAATCAGAGTTAATGTTTCGAGTCCGGTGACCCTTCCTCAGAACTGATGGTGGCTGGGAAAATGTCAGCTTATATGCAAAAAATAGGGAGGGGGATGGGCAAGGGAGTAAATGTTAGGATAGAGCCTGAAGAGAGAGAAGAGCAGTTGGATAGACAAACAGTTGATAACAATCAGGCTGGGAGGGTGAATAGTTGTTAATGGAGACTATTAGTGGCTGACAACAGGTAGTGTGTAATGGCAGGCTGTGTGGTAAAATGCCTGGTGTGTGGTGTAGGGGGGTGGGACATGGGAGAGTTTAGGCCCTAAAGTTATTGAATTCAATATTGAGTCCGGAGGGCTGCAGGGTACCCTAGCGGAAAATGAGGTGTTGTTCTTCAAGCTTATGCTGAGCTTCGCTGGAACACTGCAGCAAGCCAGAGACAGAGATGTTGGCCAGGGAACAGGGTGGCAGGCAACAGGTAGTTCAGGGTCTTTTTTGCAAGCAGAAGTGGTCACCCAGTCTACGCTTGATTTCCCCAAGCGGAAGAAGAGTTCGGCGTCATGTCGTGCCCAAAATTCGTTAAGGTGGGGACGCAGAGGAGTAAAGTTGCGACCTTTGCTGAGTACAGAACATTCAGCACTGGAGAGCAGAAGATTAGGAGGGATGATGAATACCCTCACCAAATCCGACCTATCTCCCTCTGAACTGACTGCACTCCGTGCACTCAGATCTAACTCTGACTTTGTTATTAAGCCTGCTGATAAGGGTGGTGCTGTTGCAGTCTGCAGTACTGAACTCTACATTGCAGAGGCTGAGCGCCAGCTCTCAGATACCTCCCCATATCTTCCCCTGGACCATGACCCCACCATGACGCATCAGGCCATTGTAGCTACTACAGTAACTGATCTCATTTCATCCGGTGATCTCCCCACGCTCTGCCTCCAACACCGCACAGCTCGCTTCTACCTCCTCCCCAAAATCCATAAACAGGACTGTCCGGGCAGACCCATTGCTTCAGCCTGCTCCTGCCCCACAGAACTCATCTCTTCGTTCCTTGACCCAGTCTTCTCCTCCCGGTCCAATCCTTGCCCACGTACATCCATGATCCCTGTAACGCCTTACGCTGGTTTCAAACTTCCAGTTTGCAGGTTCCAGCCGCCTCCTCTTTACCTTGGATGTGCAATCCCTTTACACATCCATTCCCCACCAGGAGGGTCTTAGGGCTCTCGGCTTCTTCCTGGAGCAAAGACCTGAACCATTCCCACCCACCACACCCTTCTCCACTTCACAAAGCTCGTCCTCACCCTCAACAATTTCTCTTTTAACTCCGCTCATTTTCTTCAGGTAAGAGGAGTGGCCCTGGGTACTCGCGTGGGCCCTAGTTATGCCTAGTTACCCCTTCATGGGGTAAGTGGAACATTCCTTGTTCCAGTCCTATTCCGGCCCCCATCCACAACTCTTTCTCCCATACATCGATGATATCATCGGTGCTGCTTCCCTCTCTCGTCCAGAATTGGAAAAATTAATTTATTTTGCCTCCAATTTCCACCCTGCCCTCACTTTCACCTGGTGTATCTCTGACTCCTCCCTTCCCTTCCTCAACATTTCTGTTTCCATTTCTGGGGATAGACTGGCCACTAATATCCACTATAAACCCACTGACTCCCACAGCTACCTGGACTATACATCCACACACTCTGCTTCCTGTAAAGACTTCATCCCATTCTCTCAGTTCCTCCATCTCCATCGTATATGTTCAGATGAGGCCAACTTTGACAAGGGAGCCTCCGAAATGTCCACCTTCTTCCTCAATGGAGGATTCCCCAGCACCATTGTCGACAGGGCCCTCAATCGGTTCCGACCCATCTCCTGCACTTCTGCCCTCACTCTTCCCTCCAGCAACAGCGATAGGGTTCCCCTTGTTCTTACCTGCCATCCCACCAGCACCCCATCCAGAAGATCATCAGACGCCATTTCCGCCACTTCCAGTGAGATGCCACTACCAGACACATATTCCCCTCCCCTCTTTTGTCCGCCTTCTGCAGGCACCGTTCCCTCCAGGAGACCCTGGTCTACACTTCCTTCACCTCCCCACAGCCCCATGGAACCTTCCCCTGTAACCAGCGAAAGTGCAACACCTGCCTCCTCCCTCCCCAGTATCCAAGGGCCCAAACATACCTTCCAGGTGAAGCAACACTTCACCTGCACTTCCTAGAATCTAGTCTACTGCATCCACTGCTCACAATGTGGTCTCCTCGACATTGGGGAAACGAAGCATAGACTGGGTGACCACCGCAGAACATCTACGTCCTGCTCGCAAAAAAAGACCCTGAGCTACCTGTTACCTGCCATTTTAACACACCACCCTGTTCCCTGGCCAACATCTCTGTCTCTGGCTTGCTGCAGTGTTCCAGCGAAGCTCAACGCAAGCTGGAAGAACAACACTTCATTTTCTGCTTGGGCACTCTGCAGCCCTCCGGACTCAATATCGAGTTCAATAATTTTAGGGCCTAAACCCTCCCATGTCCCAGCCCTCTACCCTACACACCAGGCCTCATTACCACATAGCCTGCCATTACACACCACCTGTTGTCAGTAACGAATCGTCCCCATTAACAACTTTTCACCCTCCCAGCCTGATCGTTATCAACTCTTTGTCTGTCCAACTCCTCTTCTCTCTCTTTAGGCTCTATCCTATCATTTACTCCCTACCCCATTCCCCTCCCTATTTTCTGCATGTAAATTGACTTTCCCAGCCACCTTCAGTTCTGAGGAAGGGTCACCGGACCCGAAACATTAACTCTGCTTTTTTCTTCACAGATGCTGCCAGACCTGCTGAGTTTTTCTAGCAACTTTCTTTCTATTCCTAATTTACAAAACCCCAGTTCTTTTGGTTTTTATTTCTCCTTAATCCTACTTGCCAATAATATTTCATGGCCTCTTTTAGCCCTCTTAATTCCTTGTTTAAGTTCTTTTCTGCTGTCTTTATATTCCTCAAAGGCCTTGTCTGATTTCACTTTTCTAAGCCTTATATATGCTTCCTTTTTCATTTTGATTAAACTTTCAAAATTATTTGTCATCAAGAGTTCTTGAATCTTGCCATCCTTCTCTTTCATCTTCACGAGAACATTCTGATGCTGAACTCTGATCAACTAGCTTTTAAAAAATTCCTGCATGTCAAAATGTCAATTGATTTTCCCTCAAATGGCAATCCCCAATCTAATTTTTCCAGTTCCTGCCTCGTACTGTTGTAATTAGCCTACCCCCAATCTAGCACTTTCACCCAAGGACCAGTCTTATCCTTGTCCATAACTATCTAGAAAGTTATGGAATTATAATCACTGTTCCCAAAATACTTCCCCACTAAAAATTTGATCACCTGCTAGACTTATTCACTAATACAAGTTCTAATTGGACTATCTATCTGTTGTTTCAAGAAACCCTCCTGGAACCACCGAATAATTCTGCCCCATCCAAGCCCCTGGCACTAAGAGAGTCCCTGTCAATATTGGGCAAGTTAAAATCATCTGCTATAACAACATTCATATGTAATCTGAGACAAAGGCTCCAAAAGCTTGAGGGCCTTCTAATATAATTCCTGCGATGGGACTTGGAGTGCAGAGAAAGCCAGCCTAGTCAGAAATGCCACATGATCGATCCAGCTCAGACAACTTATAACAATCCTAGCAATCCAAAGCCAGCCTTCGATCAACTCAATTCATTCTGTACTTTATCAGACCTAGTACAAAGGGAGATAGTTATGATTGTTGGAGACCAATCATCTCAATTCTAGGACTTTGCAACAGGAGATCTTTGTAACTGTGTGTAGGTCCAACTCTCATTAGAAGCTTTGTCACTGACTTACCCTCCATTATAAGGTCAGAAGTAGGGAACTTCCCTTGGCACTTGCTGAGATCCTAGTTTGATATGTTCATAAGACAGTGAAGCTATTTATACGTATATGCAGTAAGGCTTGGATTCTTAAAAAATGCTGAGAAGTGGCAAGTAGCATTTGCCCCATACAAGTACCAGGCAATGGCTTCCACCAGTAGATGTGAATCTCTCCATCTCTCTTGAAATTCAATGGCAATACTATTGCTGAGCTCCTGCCCATCATTGACATTCTGGGTGTCATTATTGACCAGAAACATAACAGGATGAGGCACATAAGATACTGAATTAGGTAGGTCAGAGGCAGGTCAGAGGCTGGGAATTCTGCAGTGAGTGACTGACCTCCAGACTCCCATCATTGACAAGTGAGATGGAATACTCTGCATTTTACTGGACAAATTGTAACTCCAACAGCACCTAAGAAACATTGTCCAGAACAAAACCTGCTTAATTAGTGCCCCATGCCCCACTGCTACAGAGTGGCAGCAAGATGTGCTATCTACAAGAGGCATTGCAGCAACTCCCCAACAGTCTGTTACCAGCACCTTCAAACAAGTCACCACCAGGATCTAGAAGAATAAAGATAGCAGGCACATAACTTAGCCTTGCTATCAATGCCCACATCCCATGAAAAAATAACAGCACAATGCAAGTAGGCAGTATGAAGAGCTCTGGAAATGCTGTTTACAACCAGGGTACGTATTAGGGCTAGAAAAATTATTTCAAATTGAGGACTCTTTCTATAATGTGCCTGACTGTAATTTGGCACAGCCTCTTTGAACAAAAAAATTGTATCTTCTCTTCCTGCTTTATTCCTATTTTTCATCATCAGTGCTCTCATCTCTACCAGAATGTATTTCAGTGTTTAACAAGCAGTCATCAGCTCTCCATTCGCTTTTAGTAGCAAGTTTCATATCCCTCTACAAGTCCTCCAGCAATGTGATGAGTAATGTATTCGGAACACTAGAAATATATTCAAATAAGCTTATCTCCAAAAGTCAGAGAATATTATTTATGAACATATGTTTCTGCTCTAACATCATTTATTTGTTTCCTTAAGGAAAGCATGGTCGTAGAGGAAATTCCACTTCAAATATCAGTGAACCTTCTGTAATTCAAATGCAGCCAACAAACATTGTAGCTGGTACTTGGATAACTACAACACCAAAAGGTTTAATAATAGGAACAAAAGGTACGGAAATGTTGGATACAAGATCCATCTTAGTCTACAAAGCCACAGATCCAGGAACTGGAGAAGTAAGTACAATAACATTTACACCTTTTACTCTTTTGTGTATGTGTGTATATATATATATATATGTATTTGGAATATTTTGGTTTTTGTTTCCAAACCTGAGATCCCCTACTTTCCCATTCTCCCTTTTCCGCTTGTTTACACTTCCTTCTATGCTTTTTCAATTTTTTAAAAATATGTATTGAGATGCACAAACAGACCGACTAGACTATTGTGGTAGTTTCTCTGCACGTTGTTAGGTCACTTTTAATAGAATAAGCTTTCACTGTGTTATTAGTTACTTCTACAGGTTAAGAAGGCATTTAGCATGCTTGCCTTCATTGCACAAACTTTGAGTATAGGAATTGGGACATCATATTAGGGTTGTACAGAATGTTAGTAGTCCTTTGAAGTACTGTGTACAGTTCTCGTCACCCTGCTTTGGAAGGATATTAAATCAAAGAGGATTCAGAAAATATTTGCTAGGATGTTGCAAGGACTAAAAGGTTTGAGTTATAAGGAGAGGCTGGAGTGTGAGAGATTGAGGAGTGACCTTGAAGAGGTTTAAAACGTCATGAAGAGCATAGATAAGGTGAATAGCAAAGGCCTTTTCCCTAGGGCAGTGGAGTTCAAAGCCGGGAGGCATATTTTTAAGGTGAGAGGAGAAAGATTTAAAAGGGACTTGATTAGTACATGGAATGAACTGCCGGACAAAGTGGTAGACACAGGTACAGTTACAACATTTAAAAGGCATTTGAATAGGAACATGAATAAGAAAGGTTCAGAAGGACATGGGCCAAATGTAGGCAAGTGGGATAAGTTTAGTTTAGGAAACATGGTCGGCAAGGACGAGTTGGACTGAAGGGTCTGTTTCCATGCTGTATGACTCTATGACTATAACTAAAAGAACTACTTATTGTGAGTTATGTGTTATTGTGTTGTTAGAGCTGGTGTTCGTGATGTTTTCAGGAGTAAATTCTAAATTAGGTTCTAAATATTGGTTTATCTCATTTTTCAAGCATGAGGTTCATAACTTGCCCTCTGCCCAGGCTGGTTCTGGTGAGTGTGAACATAGAGAGTCATACAGGAGAGGAAACAGGCCTTTCAGCCCAACATGTGCAAGCCAACCAACAAACACCAATCTAAACTAAACCCATTTACCTGCACTTGCCCCATAGCCTAAAATTCTTGACTTTAAGTACTCATCCAGATGTTTCTTAAATGTTGCACACAAGTTTGGTGCAACCACCCACTTACCAAACAGGAGTGTTGGGCCAAGAAGTTCCAAGCAGCTGTTCATTGATTCTGGGCTAGCAAAAATTCTAGCCAAGTTTTAATCATAGTATGTGGTGCCAGCCTTCTGTTCATAAATTCTGTTCCTCTTTAAGAGAGGTTGTACGAAATGACAATGGCTGTCTGCTGAATATTATTATATAAAAAAAGAAAAATGAAGTGCTAAGGCATAGAAACATCTTTAAGGCTTCCAGGATACTATCCATAACCCTAATGGTGAAGGTACAGAAGAACAGATATCCCATAGTTTGTTCAGGACCAAAAGGTCTTTGAGGAATGTTCTCAGATGGGAGGGGAAGAGGTGGCCAGGGCAATCAAAACATGTCCTCTGATCTTAAGGACCTGTCAACAGTGCCACATAAAGTCTGGTTGACCTTGCTTGGATGATCAAGGCCAATGAGTACATTTTCACATCAGCATTCCTAGCCACCACACCAACAGTCTCTCAACCAGCAGTACTCCCACATACTAGGCCATGCCTAACATCTAAATACTCTGCCTCCAAAACTATCAGCCACATGACCATCTCTTGCTGTAACCACATGTCTCCAGGAATTCAGCTATGGCATAGTAGCCAATCACAGTGTATTGCAATCCTTCACTTATATATAGTAATCCACCACCCCCCCTCCGCACCACTGCCCCACCGCCACCAAGATCCATTGATCTATACCTTTCAGAGCAAGCTCTTCAATCACAACTCATCACATACTTTGGACATCTGCCTCCTCCTTATCTTTTTTTCTCACATTCGCACTATTAATTCACACCATCAATCCCGATTACAATGTTATTCCAATTTAATTTAAGTCATGCAGGAAATATTTCCTTACACACTAAACTTTACTGTGTGCATCTATCAGGGGATCGTACAAAATACAAGGAATTTGTAACATGACCAAAGTATTAAAATACAAAACATATAAAAATAATCATCCTGTCATGCATCAGTCACGGGAGAACCCCAAGAGACAGAGGGATCAATAATAGCACGGGAATGATACAGAAGCCTTGATCTGATGCTCACAACCATAATTTCAGCCTTTATAGGTACCTTCGAAGCTAATTTAGATCTGTGATTTGCACATTGCAGGTTATTAGACATGAGTGGTTAAGAGATAGCTCACTTGAAGTCAAGATCGCAGACTAATTCTGCTGAGGGAGATTAATTTGAGGAGCTCAGGGATGACATACAGGAGAATGCTGATGAACATATTGGCCAGTCTGCCAGACAGCCTTCTGACACTATCAAGAAGCATGGATGTATTCAGCATACTTAATAGCTTGCTGGCTCTAAAGCATCTGCAGAATAAGTATTAAATATTATGTCTAATCTGAGAAAATGGTAAAAAGGCATCCAAATGCATTTCACAAGCCAACCAACATGTTGTTGTTGCAATGTAGATGATGATTACAAGACAGGACAAAGTAGTAACTGTCTTTGGGAGTGACAGTACTATAGCGGAACATGCTGATGGAACCAGGATTACAACCTTTTTTGAAGATATCCCAAAAACAGATTATGCATTGCAAGATGAAACTGGTAAGAAAACAAGATGTCCGATTTTATGATTGCTGCAATTCTGCAGAAGTTCCTTGTGCAATTTTACAGAACATTAATCTGTTACCATGCTACTCTTATCCAAATAAATATGCCATTCACCTGTATACTACTGTTTCCACTTCAATTGCTCAGGTGTTTGAATACTGTATGGGCAGGAATTACGTCATCCAAACTTGCATTGTCTAGCTTGATGAATTATTTTACCTGTTAGACAGGCAAAATATAATATGGTGCACTAATGAATATTCATCCTGAGGAATGGAAAGCTGACATTGTTCAGCTTCCGTTTCAGATATCTGCTTTCCAGTGCTTATTCAGTAGCCTGTGAACTGCACTCTTTCCATCTTGTCTCATAGAAACATAGAAGATAGGAGCAGGAGGAGGCCATTTGGCCCTTTGAGTCTGCTCTGCCATTCTTCACAATCATGGCTGATTGTCCAACTCAATAGCCTAATCCTGCTTTTTCCCCATAACTTTTTGATCCCATTCACCCCAAGTTCTATATCTAGTTGCCTCTTGAATACATTCAATGTTTTGGCATCATTCTGAAAGTGGTGTATAAGTGAAGTCTGACCATGGTACATGGCATTCTAGGCAGGTTGTTTTGAGCAACCTGATAACTTAATTCACAGATGATCAAGAAAATCAAATGTTAATAATGCAGAATTTGCCTACCAGATTAGATAAAATTGTTTGTGCACTTTTAGATTTTTAACTTTGGCAACTTTGGTATACTGTCAGACAAACAGTGCATGCACACTCATCCTGGATAGGCTGCAATCCAAGTCATCCTCAATTTTGGGTGAGAAATTGAGAAATGTTTGAGAAGGGATGCTAGATGCAAGCGTCCCAGAGGTAGACCATTAACAAGTTTCCTTGGGCAGCCCTCCCAATTAAGGATCGTGGTTGAGTTGCGTTCAGTGTGGACAATGGGTAGGTCTACCAGCAACTTTGCAGAGTGGCTACTATTGACGGACAAGCAGCAGGAGAAACATCAGCACCACTTAGGCACTTGAGTAAGAAGGCAGTAGCTGCCATTGCAGCAACAGTTACATTATCTGAGACATTATTCTTCAAGATGGCTGCAATGGCCTATCTTTAGCTTCTGTAGAACTGATCCCTGCAAATTAATGCCAGCTGATTAATAAAATGCCTTACATGGTTCACAGCTTAGACCTCCTGTTATGAAGCCACCTCAACACCATTTCCAGTCTCCTTACACAGTGAAGGAACCACTGTACCATTTAAAATTCCACTCCATTTCTACATTTATCGGTTTATTGCCACATTAGGTTTAAGCACATGGAACAATTTGAAAAATTGCCCAATGTTATGTACACAAAAAGCAAGATAAATCATATCTGAGCAATTACCTGCTCGCTTGAGTTGAGTTCTGCCAGGATCACCTGCTCCTGATCTCGTTACAGCCTTGGTTCAAAGATGGACAAAAATGCTGAATTCCAGAAATGAAATGGAATGACTACCTTAATATCAATGTTGCATTTGATCTAAAGTGGCAGAAGGAGCTCTAATAAAACTACAGTCAATAGAAACATGGGAAAAACTCTCCACTGATTCGAGTGAAACCAGCACAAAGGAAGATGGTTATGGTTGTTGGTGGTCAGTCATCTCAGCTACAGAACACCTTTGCAGGTATTTCTCAGGATAGAATCTGAGGTCCAACCATCATCAGCTATTTTATCCATGACCTATCCACCATTATAAGGTCATAAGAGGGGATTTTCATAATGTTCAGCACCATTCATGATTCCTGGATATTGAAGCAGTCCATGTCCAAATGCACCAAGTCCTAGACAATATCCGGATTTAGGCTGACAAGTGGTAAGTAGCATTTGTGCCACACAAGTACCAAGCAATGTCCATCCCCAGAAAGAAAGAATCTAGCCATCATTCCTTGGCATTCAATGGTGTTTTCATCACTGAATCCTCAATTCTCATTCTTCTGAGATTTTCTATTAGCCAGAAATTGAACTCAACAACTATATAAATATTGTGGGCACAACAGCAGATCATAAGGCTAAGAATCCTGCATGAGTAACTCACCTTCTGACTCCCCAGAGTCTGTCCACCTTGGGTCCACAAGGCACAATCAGGAATGTGATGGAATATTCTCTACTTGGATGAGTGTAGCTGCAATAATACAAGAAGCTTGACACCATCCAGGACAAAGCAGACTGCATGATTGAAACCACATCCATAACAGGTTCATTACGTCTACTACTGATGCTCAGTAGCAGCACTGTCTACCATCTACAAGGTTCACCCAGACTCCTTAGACAGCATCTTTCAAATTCACGACTACCTCCACCTAGAAGGACAAGATTAGCGAAACATGGGAAAACATCACCTGCAAGTTCTCCATCAAGCCACTCATCATCCTGATCTGGAAATATATAATTATTCCTTCAGTGTCACTGGGTCAAAATCAAATACCATGCTACATTTGGAATCAGACCTAGCCTGCTACCTCGAGGAACTCCTGCATTGATGTTTTGGTACAGAGATGATTGACCTCCAACAACGTCCAATCAGCAGAGAGTTTTCTTCAATTTCTATTGACTTCAGTTTTGCTTGGGTTTCTAGAGGCTGCACTCTGAAAAATGCTGCCTCAATGTTAAAGGTGGTCACTTCAACCCACTTGTCCAATTCAGCTCTTTTGTTCATGTTAAGACCGTGGCTGTAATTATATGAGGAACTGAACCTCCCCCCATCCCCTCCTACACAGAACCTAAACTGAGTATCAGTGAGCTAGTGGTTGCTGAGCAAGTGCTGTTTAATAACATTATTGACAATCTCTTCGATCCCTGTTCTTCATTCATGACCCCATTAATGCAGAGAAATAGGTTAGGGCAGGGAGAAGGCATGCAGAAGGCTTACAACTCTGAAAGACAGCACCCACAAAGATGAATACCGCTCCTTTAAATCTATAAATTTCTAACCACGCTTAAATTATGAGAACTAGCGAAAAATGTGCTTTCTGAATTACATTTAAACTTAAGTATTACTAAACTCTTTATCTGGTTTATTTTTTGATAGAGGGAATCCCACGTAATATGACCAGGGACATTAAATACATAAAGGTGGAATGTGTGGGGTTTGCCACTGTGTTAATGAACTGGGAAGAGTACACATGTTGTGCAATGTTTGGAAATGGTACAACAATCATCGCCAAACCACAGGAGATGTACCAGGTAACATGACAATGATTTTAAGTTTTTTTTGTAATAACATCAGCTGTTAACCAAGAGAGAGATTCTGTTATTAGGTCTCGCACATTGTTTCCGTTCCATACTTGAGTACAACAAAAAGCTTGTTATTTATGAATAAGATAGACAACTGTGTTATGCACAGTGGTTGCAATGACATTAAATGATTTATTCGATTTACCTGTACGCTATATTTACTCAGAAGATCAAATGATATGGATATGCTTTGTTTTCTCCTGAAATGGATGTATTGGCCCCAGATTTGAAATTTTGGGAAAGTGTAATAATTGACACCATGAGCCCCACCCTTGGAGCTGCTTTTTAAAGTAAAATCTTTTCATAATGCGTGCAGACTGTTCTTTGGTATATCTGCAATAATATATATTTGCAAAAGGAGAAGCTAAAAAGACTGTAGTCTCAAAATTCTTTGGTAGTATTCCCTTTATATTGTCATAAATGGCACCTAAAAGTGTTGTGCATACACATATTCTGCACTGAAAGAGTACAGCCCAAAGTATTGATAAAGTTTTTTGTTTTGTAAATGCAAATGCAAATTGACAACATAACGCATATTTCAGACTTCTTTAGAAAACTCCTTTGGATTGACTGTACCATAGGCATGCTTCAGCCAATGTCCTAATCACTTGGCTGCTAAACCAGCAGCTAGGAATTACTGGAGGCTTCTTCCTAAAGCTGTAACTTTTTTACTTTCCTTATCATGGAGCAGGAAGAGTACAGCTAATTTTGCAGGTTGTTGCCAATAACTAATTATCCATCTCTTAATTATCTGCCCAATCATTTCTGCTTTTTTTTCCAAAATTTGTAAGCAATTAGCCACAGCATGCAACGTCTATGATATTTGCAGTATGCCCAATTGCTGGCAACCAAGCCAGGTGTCCTTCAAGGAATCGCTGGAGGTTCTCTCTAGAAGAGCATGTATTTCGCTTATTTATATTTTCATGAAACCCAGAGGCACAGGAGTACTCCTCCTTCAGGTTTCACAGTAAAATCAGGCTGATTATACTTCCCCCAGATCAGATCAGCAAGTTGCCTCAAAGGTTATACTATAGTACACCCATAATTCACTAGTAAAGAAGAGGTAAAGTCCTGTACTGATTTATTTTGATTCTGCCAGCAGCTTCAATAGGTGCATAAGCACTTTTGAGTCTTCATTTCATTCACACTACTAGGTCATGCTTTAGTGTAGCAGAGTATCAGACAAGATTCTGATAACAAAATATAATCACCACTGCAATTGCTCAAAAATCAATGGTGTGAATTTTATTACAATTTTGTTAAGTAGATTTTGAGGAATTGTAACTAACAGAGGAGATGCAGTTGTCTATCTTCGCGCACCAGCAGGTTCAGGAACAGCTTCTTCCTGGCCATTATTAGACTAATGAATGGACTCTCTAACTTCAAATAATGCTGATCTTGCTAATGTTCACCCTGTGCAACGTAACCTGTATGCCTCTGTCTGAGTTTTTTTTCACCTTGTGATCTGTATGCCCTTACTTACTATGACCTGTCTATACTGCTCGTAAACAAACTTTTCACTGTACTTATGTACACGTGACGATCAATAAATCAATTAAAACATGTTCAGATTTTAAGTACATTACAGAATATCCAATACAAAATATATTTCTTTCTGGTTTAATCACTGAGTCATGAGTCATTTGAGCCTTTTAATAACTATAGTTAAATACGTCAGAGATGTAATTGTGAAGAGGGTAAAACAGACATTCCCATATGAACATACAAACCTGTGAATTGGAATCAAGAGTAGGCCATTCAGCCGTTTGAGCTGCTCTACCATTCAATAAGACCATACCTGATCTAATCGTGATCTTAAATCTGCATTCCTTGATAACCTTTCATCCCTTAACAAGAATCAATCTATCTCCACCTTAAAAATATTCAAGGACTTTGCTTTCACCACCTTTTCGGGAGGAGAGTTCCAAGGACTCTTAATTCTCAGAGAAAAAAAATCACCTGATCTCTGTTTTGAATAGACAACTTCTGATTTTTAAACAATGACCCCTAATTCTAAATTCACCAATAAAGAAAACATGTTCTCCATACCCAACCTTTCAAGACCCCTCAAAATCTTATTATTATAAAGTTTAATATTTCATCTTTTATAAAGTCACCAAAATTCCAGAGGGCCATAGGCCTGCTCTTTCATTAAAGAGATAACTGGTGGTGAGTTTAACCTGAAGGCTACAATGCCTCAGGCAAGGTTCTAGGTTGAAAAATTGAGACCTTCATGGTGACCTCAGCCAGTGTGAGAATTGAACTTTTGGTGTTACACTACACCACAACCAGCCATACAGTCAACTGAGTTGACCAACTCCATCATTTTAACCAGAAAATCTCATGCATTTCAATCAAGTGACCTGGAATGTGACAACACGGTGGCACAGCGGTTAGCACTGCTGCCTCAGAATGCCAGGTTCGATTCTGTCTGTGTGGAGTTTGCATGTTCTCCCCATGTTTGCATGGGTTTCTCATAGTCCAAAGATATGCAGGTTAGGTAGCCATGCTAAATTGCCCCGCAGTTTCCAGGGATGTGCAGGCTAGGTGGATTAACCATGCTAAATGCAGGGTTGCAGGAATAGAATCAGGGATTGGGTCTGGGCAGGATGCTTTTTGGAGGGTTAGTGCAGACTCAATGGGCTGAATGACCTCTTTCTGCACTGTAGGGATTCTATGATTCTTTTCCACTCCATCAGATCCTGAAGACGAGTTATGCCAGACTCAAAACATCTAATGTATTTCTCTCTTCACAGATGCTGCCAGACCTGCAGAGTTCCTCCATATTTCTGTGTTTGTTTAACATATTTTGGATGTCTCCCTTGTCCTCTTCAAATTTCCTACCCAAACTTGTGTCATCAGTAATCCATCCATCCCTTTTTCAAAATCATTGATATCAATTGTAAATGCTTGAGGCATCTGCACTGATCCCTGTAGCACACTACTCATTATATCTTGCCAACTTGAAAAACACTCATTTGTGCATGTTCTTTCCTTCCTGTTAGCTGGTCAATCTTCTGTCCATGCCAGTATGTTACCCACAACACTGATAGCTTTTATTTCTGCAATAATCCTTGCTGTGATGTCTTATTTAATGCCTTCTGGAAATCTAAGTACCGTCTAGCCACCTTTATGAATAGCATGTGTTACCTCCTCAAAGAACTCTAATAGATCAATTAACATGATATCCCTTTCACAAAACCATTTGGTCTCTTCTTGATTCCTTTGAACTTATTCAAATCCTCCTGCAACTTTTTAAAGAATGGCTTCCAAAATTTTCCTATGACTCATGTGAAGCTAACTAGCTAATTTTTTTTTCTGCTGACTCCCTCCATTCTGAAAAGAGGAGTTATGCTCACTATGTTCCAATCTAATGGGACCATCCCTGATTCAAGGTATCTATGGAAAATTAAAACAAACAAATTAACTATCTCACTACCCATGTCTTTTAAGGACCTAGGATGAAGTTCATCAGGACCTTGGCACTTGTCATCCCGGATCTCCAGCAGTTTACTTCTCTGGTGATAATGATCTTCCTGAGTTCCTCCCTTTCTTCCATTTTCTGATGTATTGCTGCTTCTGAGATGTTACTTGTAGCTACTATAGTGAAGACAGATGCACAATACCTGATCAATTCATTTGCCATTTCCTTATTTTCTATTATGAATTCTTCAGTCCCACTTTTTAGAGACCAGTTCTCTCTTTATCAAATCCTTTCTTCTTTAAATATTTATAGAACCACTTACTATCAGTCTTTATGTTTCTGGCTAACTTTTTCTTGTTCTCTAACTTGTCACTCCTTCGTAATTTGTTGGTCATTCTTTTATGTTTATACATTCTGTCCAATCTTCTGATCTGCCATCTATGCTTAGATTTTTTTGTTTTAGTTTTAATACTATCCATAACATTTCTAGTGAACTATGGATGATGGGTTTGTTCTTTGGAAGCTTTCTTACTCGTTGGCATGTATCTATACTGCATATTCTAAAATATCACCTTAAATGCCTGAGACAACAAGGTGCAGGGCTGGATGAACACAGCAGGCCAAGCAGCATCATAGGAGCAGAAAGGCTGACGTTTCGGGCCTAGACCCTTTTTCAGA